GATATGGCTTGGATAAATGGTGAATTAATTAATGAAATCAAAGATAGCGAAATCTTACCAAACGACTGGGCTGATCACAACCCAATTCAAATAACCTGGAGAGGTAGAAGAAAACCAAAAAGAAGATGGACTCTTAACACTCACTTAATAAAAGAAGAAGAATACACTAATAAATTGAAAGAAGAACTGAACTTCTTCTTAAAAGAAAATAATAATGAGCTAACTTCGAAACAAAATATATGGGACACAATGAAGGCATTTATAAGAGGAATAACTATCTCTTACAATGCTATGAGAAATAAAAGAAAGTATGCCCAACAAAGTAACTTACAACAAGAAATTAAGGATTTAGAAACCCAACTACAAAAGAACCCCAAAAATCAAAGAATACAGAATCAGTTAATAACAACTAAACACAATCTAAATTTATTGGAACAAGAAAAATTGGAGAGTAGTCTGAAAATGACTAAACAAATTTATTTTGAGCACGCAAACAAGCCAGGGAGATGGTTAGCCCACAAACTTAAGAAAATGAAAGAAAAAAGATTGATACACCAATTAACGGACGAGAGGGGCAATTTGCAAGAGGAGATAGAGAAGAAAAAAGAGATCATTTTTAAATACTTCAGGAAATTATACAAAAAGGAAGACGTTTGTGAGGACAAAATAATGAAATATCTAGAGGAAGCAAATGAAAAAGCAATTGGAGAGGAAGAGATAGAATTATTAAACAAAAATATAACATGGTCCGAACTGAAGTCAGCAATAGAGAAGCAAAGTAACAATAAAGCGCCAGGACCGGACGGGATACCTGTAGAACTTTACAAAACAATCATAGAACAAATTGGACCACTGATGCTGGAAGTATTCAATGAGGTACTCCTAGTAGCCAAGATGCCGGACTCGTGGAGGGGAGCCTTAATTTCGCTGATCCCGAAGGAGGACCTAGACCATAGACTTATTAATAATTATAGACCAATCTCGCTCCTGAATGCAGATTACAAACTATTCTCTTCTATAATAGCACATTTGCAGTTCTATTACATACTTTTATTTCGTTATTCAATAAGTTTCATCTTAAATCTAATGATTCTAAAAGCTTACCCCTTTAATTCCCAGAGTATGCCACCCTTTTATTATAGATCCCTCAATTTATTCCCATTTAATCCATAATCAAAATTTACCATATGATCACTTTATAGTTATCACATTGATTTAATACCAGTCCCCTACTATATTTCACAAACACAAACACACACAGATATATATATATATAGAGAGAGAGAGAGAGATTGCTAGATTCCGCATGGTATTCCTTCCCTCAATTACTTTCTAAATCATTATTTAAAATATATTGATCTATTCAATTATAGAAACTGACATTAATCTTTTCATTAAAATCCTCATAATTCATTTTAACTGTATTCATTTTGTATTTTTCTTTTCATGACTTCCAATTTTCACATTTATTTCAATTATATCCATATATAACAATAATCCTTAAAAAATAAACCAATTTAAAAAAGATCAGTTCCATTTGTTTTTTAAACTATATTCTTATATAACATATTACCTTGCAGAATTCCTTTTCTTTAATCTTTATCTACCCATTATCTCTATGTCTCATAACTAAACAATTTCTTTTCATTTTTGTTCAATTTTTATATCTCCTTATTTTCTGGTTTTCTCTTTCTACCTTTTTTTGTCTTCATTTTCTCCCTCTGTTTCTCACTCCAGTTTTTATCCTCCTCCCTCTTTAAAAGATTATTCTGTAATTCCCTTTTCTGTTGTTTCCTTTTTCTTTGTTTGGCTTTCCAAACATTTCCCTTTTTAATTATCTCCTCAAACCTTCAAGTTTTATTTTCCATTTTTTTCCCTTCATTCGTTGTTCCATTTGTTCATTAAAGCTGGCTTCTTCTTTAATCGGCTCCTCCCCTTCTGGCACTCCTTGTTGTTCGTTCTCCAAAATTGCCATTTCTATTAATTATAAGGCAATACAGCATGATTCATTTCCTTCATGTAACATTTCCTTTATATTTCTTAGTTCCATTTTAAGTTCCAAGAGAAGTTCTGCCATTTTTATACACTTCTTTTATATTTTCTTTGTTTGTCCCTTTCTTTAATATTTAAGTCCAAACCAGTTATCCAGTAATTTAATTCAACTAGCGTCTTTGCGGTTTATTTCCAACGATCAGCTTCTCTTTGAGTTTTTCTAAAATCATCAAATAATCCAAAATCCATAAGTTTAAATTTGTGCCAAAATCACCAAACAAACCCAGAGTAATTTCTTCATGTTTTCCCTTTTATCTTAGTATTCTGTGTTTTCGCTTTTCAGGGTTTCAATGTTAGTGTAACAAAGTTTCTCTTATTTTGTATCAATTTCCAAGTTTAAAAGAACCAGACACTTTTTAAAGTCACTAAAAATTTTCCTTTACCATTAGGTGGCACTCTCCGTTCCACCCTTTCTTTTCACTTTCTTTTCCAATTTAAGGCTTTTAAATTTCAATAGTTCGATAGATCCAATTATCAAATTTCCCCCTTTTTTGACACCTTCAAGTTCATTCAATTTAAACAAATTTTTCTTCTATTTTCTGAGTTCCTCCTTCAATTTAGCTCTTTCAAAGTTCAAAGCCACTTTCCTTTATATTCAATTTTTCTCCTCACTTTCTCTGGCCGCCACTAATGCACTCTTTCTTAAAATTTCTTTTTGGTTTAATTTCAGGGTACCTTAGTGTCCATATGTCAGTTTGCCTGGTCAACACACTGCCTGCTTCTTCACTGCTTCAGCACAATCTTATTTCCCAAATAGCCTTCCGTCTTCAGTGTGGCCATTTCTGACCACTGCTACAGCCCGTCTTCAGAGGGAATTTACCTGATCGAGGGAGATGCAGCTCCCCTCAACCTGACAGGTGGACTCCCCCTTCTTCACCACCCCTACAGGATGGTTCCAGCTGTTCAGAGCCCTCCAACAGGGACAGCAACGGATCGAAGCAGCGCACAATCACAGACTTCGATCTGTCCATGATGAAAACGCCACCGGAAGTCCCCTTCTTTAATTTATTTTGATGTACTAAGTCATCATTTGAGCCATGGTAGCACAGTGGTTAGAATGCAGTATTGCAGGCTAACTCTGCTCACTGCTCATTGCCAGGAGTTTGATCCTTGAGTGGTTCAAGGTTGACTCAGCCTTCCATCCTTCCAAAGTTGGTAAAATGAGGACTCAGTTTGTTGGGGGTAATAGTCTGATTCTGTAAACTGTCTAGAGAGGGCTGAAAACAGAGGTGGCATTCAGCAGGTTCTGAGCAGTTCTGGAGAACGGATAGTGGAAATTTTGAGTTCGGAGAACCAGCAAATACCACCTCTGACTGGAGATTTTAAAGTATCCTTCCCCTGCCACACCCACCAAACCACACCCACAGAACCAGTAGTAAAAAAAATGGATTCCCACCACTGGCTGAAAAGCACTATGAAGCAGTATATAAGTCTAGGTGCTATTGCTATTTTACTATATTTAATATGAGTCTTGAGAGAATGAAATGTTTCTAAATGTTGATGTATTTGCTGAATTCATTTAGAGATTGTGTGCAGTTTTCTAGTAACATATTATTTAGATTGAACAAACAGAGGAATTAAGCTGGACTAATTCCAATTTGGGAAGATCTATTATGTTTCCTTTTATTTATGTTAGAAAAATAATGATGCTTAGAATTTCTATCCATTTAAAAAATAGGTTAAGAACAAGAAATTAAAGAAACTCTTCTGAACTTCCAAATAACATAATGTATGAATGATCAAATAGTACAATATGAGAGGAAAATAGTAGCTTTAACATACAAATTAAATTTCATTTAATTCTGAGCATTTCATTTAATTTTGTTCTTTGTCCTGGAGCTCCTTTTCAATGGCTAGAAGAAAAAATCAAGAGTAAAAAAAAAAAAAGAACATAAATTAACAGTGCATGTCTGATCACAAAAAATATAATAATTTCAATTTAATTAACTTCCATTAATCTGTTTCCAAGTTAAGCGTTCTTAGCTGTAAAGCTGCATCGAAGAGTTTAATAACAAAGCAGTGTTCCCTTGACGTTCTCGAAAAAAACTAAGAACTAAGATAACTAAGATTTTACGGTAAACAGTTGCTACATTCATTAAATTAACTTTATGGCAGTTACAGTAGCCATCCTTGCAGATAAAAACTACAGTTCTATGCTTCATTAGTTACTTGAAAAGAAAATTTCTAAATTTATCTCATTAAATTCGTTGAAGCTCTCCTCATACAGACTCTGGGTGGCTTGCAAACTCCAGGCAATCTCGGCTATAAAAGAAACATTACGGAGAGGGAAATTCATCGGTTATTCCCAGAAAATCCAAAAAGATCAATTATTTGGAAGAGGGACATAACGTCCTTTAGGACGGTAAACCCGTTCGGAGGAAGAGCCACCAGCAGCGACATCACCTCTTCCCTGGCAAAAAAAAAAAAGGCGAATGCCCTTCCATCAAAGCGGCAGGACCACTCTGCGCATGCGTCCCTTTTGTGGGGAGCGGCACGCGGGAATCCGCCTCCGCCTGGGTTTCTCTCCGAGCCTTCGTTGCAAGGTGAGTGATTGGCGCTTCCTCCGCTGGGACAGCCGTCAGCGAAGCCCCCCTCCCGTAGGTGACCCGTCCAGACGCCTGAAATGCCACTGGCTAGGCTGGCGCGTAAACGGGGCGCGGTATTTCTGACTGTAAAGAGTTTGTTTGTTTTCTCTCTCTCTCTCTAATTAGGTTAGGTGGGAGGCTCCCCACAGCAGCCCCGGGGTGGTGGTGGAGGTATAGTTGCTGGGTGTTTTGCCTGAATGAAAATGAGAAGGACCCCGGGAAGGACAGCGAGGAGAAGGCGGAGAGAAGGGTTGTTTGCCTGGCGCGCGAGCGATGTTTCCCTGCGGGTCCCCTTTCTCGCGGGGGAGGCAACGGAGTTGTCAAAGAAAGACAGCGAGGCCTCTCTTCAGTGACTTTTATTTTATTATTTTTATCCTTCTTAAAGGAAAAGTAGCTCCTTGTTTTTAATTGCAATGTGCCCGCCCTGTTGTAAATGACAGCCCGGAGCAATTTCTAGAGATTGTTGCTGAACAACAACGACCAAGCAGCTGCAAGCCGATGGGGAAGGATTCTGGGATATGTAGTTCAACAAGATCTGGGAAACCTCTTGGCTCTTTGGGCCCTCTTCAATTTTTTTTTTAAAAATGTGTAATACAATGCTGTACATTTTGGAGAAAGATGAAAAATGTCTATTATTCACATATGTGAAGGTAAAAGGTAGCAATTTGCTTCCAAATACACAGAATCTTATAGCTATATACTGGTTTGGACTGTTCTTATAATCTTAATATAACAGCCTACGCCAGTTCAGGTAATCCTCAACAGTTTGTTTGTGACTGTTCAAAGTTACAACAGCGTTCAAAAAAGTGACTTATGACTGTTTTTCACATTTATAATTGTTGCAGCGTCCCCATGGTCATGCGATCAAAATTCAGATGCTTGGCAACTGGTTCATATTTATGACGATTGATCACATTTATGATTGTGTGATCAACTTTAGCAACCTTCTGACAAGCAAAGTCAATGGGGAAGTCCAATTCACTTAACAACTGTAAAGATTCACTTAACAGTGACAAAAAAAGTCATAAAATGGGGCAAAACTCAACAAATGTCTCACTTAGCAATATAAATTTTGGGCTCAATTGTGTAAGTCAAGGACTATTTGTGTATAGCTATGATATTGCCTAGTTCATTGACAGCATAATCTCATCCTTATTTTCAGGTCATAGATCTTATGGCATGCCATAATCATATGATGGTCTGGCAGTAATTATAAAAGTTGATTTTGTTTTTGGTGTAAAGTATGGTTTTGCTTTGATTTGTTTTGGAAAAATTAAACACTACTTTGCTCCAACAACACTGTGTTTCCATTTTTATTATCAGTTTTCAAATAATTGATTTCTTGTGAAGTTGAAGCTGCAATCCTGTACAGTTTTATTTGGGAGAGGAGCTGTCACTGAACCTCATAGGACTTAACATCTGCATTATGTAAAGAACTGAACTGTAAATGGCATTTTTTTAAAAAAAAAATATTGCTGCTTCTTGCCAACAGTATGGCAGTTTCCAGTTCAGAAGAACAGAAGAAACAAAACTGTTTCATCTTGGGTGCTTCTGGAGAAACTGGGAAAGAATTGCTACTTGAAATCTTAAAGCAGCAAAAATTCTCGCGAGTGACCCTCATTGGCCGCCGAAAGCTAAATTTTGAAGGGACTCTTTACAGTAATGTGGTATGAAACAAAACATTTTTTTAAAAAAAAATTATGTTTTTATCCCCTTTCTCATTCCCTTTAGAACTGGATAGAGATTGAAAGCTGGGTCTCTCGGGACCTAATTTGCATTCTAAATGCTAACCACATGGATTTTTGTTATATATTATTATAGTCATCCTCAACCTAGTGCTCAGAAAAAATGATGTTAATCTATGCTACCTGTAAATCCAGTCTTACCTCTCAACATTCCTTGATGGTAATGTGAATGAAATATATTTATAGTCATAAATTATATGTTACAAATTTTTATTTTATACTTCTCTATAACAATAGGACACTTTACAAGTTTCTCAAAAACATAAGTAATTGAGAATATTATTCAATACTCTATCCAAAATATAAAACAGTCAAGCAATTTTAAATGCCTACCGAATAATTATTTGTTTACCAACACTTGCTTGTCAACTGTCTCCAAATGGTTAAAAAAATAGAAATCTAATTATGTGGGACATAAAATAGTACATAAATAATGTAAATAATATAGTGCCATAAAGAAAACTGTCATATAAAAAAGAACTGGAGGAACCAAATTGTCTTCTTCAATCTTCTATCTGCTAGCTAGACAATAATATCCATCATACTAAGTTACTTGTATTTCAGGAGACTGGAGCCTCTTTTTATATGGTGTATCTCTTAAGTTAGCTTACTGGCACTTTCATTTCAGACACTTCTATACTCCTTCTTTCAATTAAATCTAAGTGGCTTACATATAGATACAAAGAATAACAGAGTTGGAAGGGACCTTGGGGGTCTTCTAATCCAACCCCTTGCTCAAGCAGGAAACCCTATTCAGACAAATGGTTGTCTAATCTCTTCTTAAAAACCTCCAGTGTTGGAGCAGCCACAACTTCTGGAAGGAAGCCATTCCACTGATCAGTTGTTCTGTCAGGAAGTTTCTCCTTAGTTCTCTTCTTGATTAGTTTCCATCCATTGCTTCTTGTCTTGCCTTCAAATGCTTTGGAAACAGACATAGATACACAAAACAATATAACAAAATATAGTAAAATAAAAAAGAACCATGTAATATATAATCAATACTGTAATACAATTTAACACAGTAATTTACCACCAATATCATTACTTATCTCAGATACATGAACTTATTCAATTCTTCAATTCCTAAATGCTCTCCAGAATAACCATAACTTAACTAGCTTCTTAAACATCAACAATGACGGTGCTTTTCTTATTTCAGAGTATAGCTTATTCCACAAGAAGAGAGCCTAGCAGAAAACATTTGCTTCTGTCCTCCTTCTTATCACACCACATCTGGATGGAAACTTCAGCATTCCTTCTCTGCCTTGTCCAAGTTGTGCATTTTAATATGTGCATTTTATTGATTGATAATTTATCAACATGAGTTGAGATTTCATTGTTAGTCAGGAGATGTTCTGTCTTCATTTGTTTTGGAAAGCAGGGAGACACACATATTTCATTTTCTCCATTGGAGTCTCCCGTTCTTTCTTTCATGTCTGATTTTTTGGGGTGTCTGTTTCCAGGCCCAAGAAGTTGTTGACTTTGAGAAGCTAGATGAATCTGCTGCTGCCTTCCAAGGACATGACGTAGGATTTTGCTGCTTGGGGACAAGCAGAGCCAAAGCTGGAGCGGTGAGGATGAAAAAGGGGCTATACCTGGGTTAAGGAGGAATTGAAAAAGGTGGAAGATTGAGAGGAAGTTAAGAGGTATAAAATGTATTCTAGAGTGAAATTTGCTGGTAAGTCAGATTCCATAGATTGTTTCAGTCTTTCCCAATTTGGCATTCTCCAACTATATTAGACTATAGTTTGGGTTACTCTGGGGACTGATTGTAATTGGACTTCAATATACCTGGAGGAACCAAACTGGAAAAGGTAAGTTCCTTGGGATCTGTGAGACAGAAGATTGAAGTGGGTGCTTGGCATTTTGAGGGAATGAGATGGCCTGATGAGGAACAGGTGTGAAGAGTTTAGATTAAGTTGGACTCTTCTCTGTTTCTTCCAAGGAGCTAGAAGTACATATCAGCTTAGTTTAGCTTTTGCCCATGGTAGCCAAATTTGCATGCCATCTTTTCCAAATTTCATAGTTAACGCAGAATTTTATCCAAGTCACCCAAATTGGCTGTTTACAAGTTCAATTTTTTTAGAGTTATCTTGCACCTCTGATGAACCAAAGGTTGCACATAATTTGAGTGCATAAGAAAGGTGGAGGAGGATCCAACACATCAAAAAATAAATTTGATCTCAGTTAATTTGCATTTATATTTACATTTCATTAAGCATGAATATAATGTTATTTTCTGATCAGCATGTATTTAATTTTTTTCCTTTTTTCCGCATTAAAATTAATATCAATTTTTGAGGTGCCTGATTGTCATAAACATGGTTTTGGAGCCCTGAAGTCTCAGGTTGGATAATTCTTTATATGTCATTTCTTGATATGTCAAATAGGCTCTAACTTATTTCAGGTCATTGGAAAGGCGAGACTTTTTCAAATACATAAATGCTATTTTCTCTACATATAAATACAGGATGGATTTGTGCGTGTTGACCGTGATTATGTTGAACATGCAGCAAAGCTAGCCAAAGCTGGTGGCTGCCACCACTTTATCCTAGAGTCCAGCAAAGGTGCGGATAGCTCTAGCAGATTCCTTTATCTGAAGACCAAGGTATGTCTGATGGGCTGCAAAATGAGATAAGCAATGGGTCAGGGAACCACCTGGTTTTAGAGTTCTCCTTAGGTGAGTCCTTGGAAACCCAGGTTCTGTTTAATCTTGATATACGAAATGCCAGATCTTCCATTCTACTGCCATTTGGGATTAGATAGAGAAAGAGGCTTCTTATTTAATGTATCCTCCAAGGAGGTCATGATTATATACTTGTTTTTTACTCTACTCTTAATTTAAGCCTGAGGAAAACTCCCTGTGAGATAGTTCGCAGAGCTGGGTGTTGAATTTGAGTTTTCCCAAGCATAGACTACCACTCTAATTCCATATTAGGCAACCTGATGCCTTCTAGATACATTCAGTGACATGCCTCAATAGCCCCAATTAATATTGCTTCAGCAAAGGAAGCAAGTCCCTTCTAGAAAAATGGCTCCAGGAGATACTATTATTTATTACAACTGTTATTCCATGTTGTTCAAGTAATATGTGCAAAAGAAAATGCTGCACTATGACCTGCAGCATAATGTAGGTGCCAATACATTTTCACGAGAAAGGTGTTTCTTGGCTGAGGATCTGTGGTTTTTCAAATTCTAGCCATTACAGAGCCTGCAGGTTACTTTCTATCTGCAGCTTATAATTCTAAGAGTGAAACCTGATAGTGCTTAAGAATAGGAGGTAAATCTCCTCTGTCAAATGAGGATCTTCAGGATTCCTTCCTTCTGCCTTATATGATGTGTATACTTTTCAGCTTCTGTGTATTTCTATGAACAAGACAGAGATTTCATCCAATGAAGGTTGTTTTTTCCTTCCCTCTTCAGGGTGAAGTAGAAAACAGGATTAAAGCACTTGAATTTGACCGATTCTCCATATTTAGACCAGCGTAAGTATATTGTATTTGTGAATCATGAATCTGAGGGAAGGACAGACTTATCAGTAGATGGGCATGTTGAAAGATGCTCATTCCATCACATAGGAAATTGTATTAGTTGTGAGTGTTGCTGATTAATTAAGAAGTTTCTTGTAACAAAATTAGTTAATTGATTCAACTGCTCGTTTAGTTGTTGCTTAAATATTCATAATCTTACCTCTTGTGGGTTGTTAAAGAGTATAAGAATATATCAAATGAGCAGCATAGATGTAGAAAGGTTACATTGCAATGTATCCGATTTCAAAATGTTGCTTTGATCTCTAACTATGGAAGTATGAGTATACTTCCATTCGCACATGGTTAGAAAAATTGGTCAAAACTAATACCAGTGGTGATTTTGAGTAGATTTGAGAATTTAATCCACAGGCATTATTTATGCAGAGTCAGATTCAAAAGCTAATTTTGTATATAATTGTGGGTGCAGTCCAAGCTACAATGCTGTGAAGCACATTAATGTGCAAATGAGTAAGTGAATGAGTGGCTACCCTATTTTGTTTTTTATCGATGAGCAGAAATGTAAGCCCTGGCCCTTCCATGGCAAATCCAGAATTCATATTCACATCACACTGCAGGTCACAGAGAATCATTTTCCTTCACCTGTGGCTGTTCAACATATTATTTGAACCACACAGACTAATAGAAGGTATTAACAACAGCCTCTCTCAGGGCCATTGCTTTCTAACTGAACCGAATAGGCAGCTATCATGGTGTGGCTGTCCTTTTCCAGCCTGAACAGGTATCTGTGCCCTACTGAAACACAATCTAGTTAAATACGGTTTCTCTATAGTTGGTTAGTTTTGGCACTCCCAGCAACAGATGTTGTCTTGTCAAGAGGTTTTATTTCTTCACCATCTCTCTGGTCTTGAACACACCTCATTTCCCAATCTTGAAGAAAAAGAAGTAAAATCAACCAGTAAACTGCCGAGTGCACACAGGATTTTTTTCTGTTTGCCAGCCGTGTACAGATTTAAATGTTTTACGATAAAGCAGTGCATAATTTTTCAACAAACCTCTTAGAGCTTTATTGAAATCTGCTTTTTTCCCCTCTTATATAACCAAGGAGAAGCATTGGAATATTTCCATTCATACAAATGAGCCAATATATTGCTCTAGGACAAAAATCAATTCAGCTAGAAGCACCATCTTAAGTATTAGTACCATATAATGTTACACTTGTAATCAAATGTTTAGTATATTGTATTGATAGGTAAGCAAATTTTACTGAGTATTGTATCAATAACCAACAGTAACTCATTATAATGATGGCTTTCATGTATTAAAACCCACTATTCCTATCTCATTCCCCTGTGGTTTGCTTTGCGATTATCTTACTTCACACTACTTTGTTGCAAATAAAAAAATATTACCTTCTTGTTGCTGCTATGTTGAGCAATAGAATCCTCATATCATATAACTAAGAAAAAATAAGTTCCTTTTCTGCCTCCCTTCCCTAGGGTGCTGCTATGTGATCGCCAGGAGTCTCGGCCTGGAGAATGGGTGGCCAGGAAAGTCCTAGGAGTGGTAGCCCATTTCTTTCCCACATATATGACTATTCCTACCACGACAGTGGCCCGAGCAATGGCCAATATTGCAGTGATGCCGGCAAAAGATGGGCAGAAAGTGGAGGTGCTGGAAAATGCAGCCATCCATGCCCTTGGTCAGTCAAAGTAATCAACGGAGAAGCAGGGATGTGTTTTGGATAGCTTTATAATGAAGGGGTTTCACTGATTACCCCAAGCCCAGCCTTACTCATATATTTTTATACTTTGGAGGATCTCTGAATAATCAATAGCTGTGAATTGCATTTGACATGATTGTTGCATCAGAAGCATGTGATGCAAAAATAACTTTTAAAAAAAGCCTTAATGTCATTGGTGCTGTTTCAGAAGCTTTAAACATATCCTGCCTCTTAATAAAATTAATTAATTAATTAGCAATGGAATTGTGTATGGCTTGTTGATTCAACACTAACATGCTAAAAATTCAACTTAAAAATGCATTGTGGAATGAAAGAAGATTGAAACTTTATTATGGTCAAAATCCAGGAATATCAAGCAGAATGCAAAAACATTTACCCAGTAGCTACCCATATATTTTATAGGAAATGTTAGGATGAACTTAGGTTAATCCCATTTCAGGCCTTATATGCTGCTGCAGAGACTGGCTTATTTGTTGCCCAGGTGCCTGTCTAATACACCAATCCCTCATTTAGTGACTAAGTTCCATTAAGCAAAATGGTCATTAAGTAAACACATGACTTACTTGAGAGAAGAAAGAAAGAGACGCTACAAAGTCCAGTACTTGCTGCCATCTAAAATTCTCATATTGTTATACCAATGTTACTCTCCCTCTGATAGGGTTTGTTGTCAGGTGCACAAAAATTGTAAATGGGTTGCCTTGTGACGAAATGGGTGGCAAATAAATTTAATAAACAAATGTAAAAAATAGTGGAAAAAATATTTTTATTGCCATGGTATTTGTGAATGATCACCAAGGCAGACGCTAAGCATAGAATGGAGATAGTAAAAAGATCAAATGATTGTGTTTTGTAGATCAAGGAAAATATTGATTTTAAAAGGTTTTAAGTCCCAAAGGTTCTTTTGAAAGAAGCAACTGGACTTTCCTCAAAGACGTTTCACTTCTTATCCAAGGAGAAGCTCTAAGAAACTGAAGAAGCTTCTTTGATAAGGAGCGAAATGTCTTCAAAGAAAAACCAGAAAGTCCAGTTGCCTCTTGAAAAAGCACCTTTGGGACAACCATGACCTGGAGGGCTGAGAATCTCCATAGATAAAAGGTTTTAAGCTTCACATCCCTATAATACCATGGCTAGTTGTTTTGGTTATACCTGATCTGCCCAGACAAGTTCACTCCTGCCAGAAAAAAATAGATGTCAAACTATATTAGGTAAGCTGCACTTCACAATTCATATCACAGAGCAGATCATTTCTCCTATCTCATTAACCACATCATCACCACTCCTGCCAATGTGATCTTCTTTGACTATATCAAGTATCAAGTATTTCAAAACTTCTGAATGCGAATGCAGGCTGGCTGATTGACATGCTCTGTTGTTAGTTCCCTGCCGTATTCCTATCCCAATCTGCATGGAACAAATATAAAAATGACTGATACATCATGGATCAGGTAGAGATTTGGATTCATTAACATTATTAAAGTAACCTTACATCAATGCTGGTGATTTAAGGTTTTATTCCATAGACTTAGAAAGATAAGTCTTCATTACTTGGAAAAATCAGGACCTTGTAGCCTCATTTCCCTCCATTCATTTGAAAGAATCCTGCCTGCCAACCATGACAGCATTTCAAGATCAAAGAAGGAATCTCAGCTGAGCACAGAGAGGTGAAAGAGAAGTTGAGAAGGATCTGACTGTAGAGGACATAGGGAATAATAGCCTTGAAGGACAGGAAGAAGAGCTGCTAACAAGGCAATGGTCAGATAAGAGGGGCTTGAGCCCGGACCAAGAAAATAACTGGAGAAAACGTCTCGGACAAGCCCCTCGTTCATTGAAAAAATAAAGTGAGGGAAGAAAAAGCATATTCAGTTGTGCAAGATTTTGTTACCATAGCTGTTAAACTGAAAGTATATGACTATATGCAATAGGTTTCTTAGTTTGGACTATATTGTTGGACACACTGGCTGAAATAAGTGAGATGTTGTTGGAGCTGAAAGTGTTTCCACTGAGCTGAATTTGAATAGAGTTCAAAGGCTGCCAGCTCAAAGACAACCTAAGATTGGCTTTGATGCCTTCCTGGAAAGGAGTGTGTGACAGTAAGTCATAATAGAAGGAACCCTCAGGATTAAATTCCTGTAGAGGAATCAACAGCAGCCACTCCCAGAGCCACTGCATTTGTATTTTATCCAATTCCATTTTAAATTGTTTTTATCAGATTTTAGTAATAATTTGTGTCTGAAACTGCAGATATGGCCCAAGGGCTAATCAATAAAGTAAAGTAAATTCCTACAAAGCCCTGTAAAATCCAAGCCTCAGCAAACTTTCAGAAATAAGGAGTCTAATTCTTCGCCATTTGCATATGGACTGTAGGGACCCTGAATAAACAAAGATGAAGGGGAGAGGCAATCCACTAACTGGTTCATGAGACTTTTCTCACTATGCTTGAGACTGTCATAAGACAAACTTATGACTGATGTTCAACCATTTCCATCTTCCAAGTTACCTCATGGCCAGGATCTTCCTGCTGAACAGATGTTTCATGGCCTCTTTTACATCTTTGTTCCTCAGGCTGTAGATGACTGGATTCAGAAGAGGAATCACTAGAGTATAAAATAGAGAGACCACCTTGTCTTGATCTTGTGATCCATCCTTGTTCCTTGGTTGGGCATACATGAAGATGGCAGTACCATAGAAGAGGCTCAGAGCAGTCAGGTGGGAAGAGCAAGTGGAGAGGGCCTTTTGTCGTCCTTGAGTTGAGTGGCTCCAGAGGACATTCCACAAGACTCGGAGATAAGAAACAGAAATGGTGGTGATGGTTGCTATGGCAATAACAGTTGTGGAAACAAAAAGGATTACTTCAGAAAGCTGAGTGTCAGAGCAAGACAGCTTCAAGACAGCAGGGATATCACAGAAGAAATGGTTGATATGGTTTGGCCCACAATAGGACAACCGGAAAGCTCCACTAGTTTGGATGATGGAGCCCACTAAACCACAACTGTAAGCCCCCAGCACAAGGCAAATGCAATTCTTGTGAGTCATGAGTGAGGTATAGGTCAACGGGTGGCAAATGGCCAGGAAACGATCATAGGCCATGGCTGCCAGGAGAAAACATTCGGTTGTCACCAGAGTAGTAAAACAAAACATCTGAGCTGCACAAGATGGAAGGGAAATGTAAGCCTTGCCCTGTTGCAGCTGAGCCTCCAGTGCCTTGGGTGCAATGACTGAGGAATAGCAAAGATCCAAGAGAGAGAGGTTGCTGAGGAAGAAGTACATTGGAGTGTGCAGACGCTGTTCAGTTCTGATCAAGATGACCATCCACCCATTGCCCAGTACTGTAAGTACATACAGGAGAAGGAAAATGCTGGAGTACAGAGGATTCAATTCCGGTTTCTCTGTAAAGCCCAGGAGGACGAAAGTGGTCACAGTGCTTCTGTTTTCACCCTCTGAGGAACTGTGGCTGCGTCTATAAGATCTTCAGATGAAACCATAGACACAAACCATCACAATAAATAGGCATAAGATTAAAAGTAACTGCAAAACTTAAAATACCAACTAAGAAACTTCCATAAAAGAAGGTGGAAGGAAAGCAGAAGCATTGGTAGATTAGATTATGTAAGTATTAAATTGCCCATAGATACACACGCATATACCCAGAGATGCGTACACACAAGCGAGAAAGCAAACAAGACACCATCAGTGCAATCCCTTATCTCTCTACAACAGGGGTTCCCAACCCCCGAGCCATGGACTGGTACCAGGCCATGCAAGCTTGTGAAGCTTCACATGTGCATGTGTGGGATTTAGGCAGCATGTGAAATCATGATGCCACCACCACCGGTCCGTGGAAAAAAATCTTTCCATGGAACTGGTCCCCGGTGCCCCAAAAGGTTGGGGGCTGCTGGTCTACAAGTAGTCTTCAATTTAATGATCACAATTGGACCTGGAATTTCCATCCCTAAGCGATTCATTGTAAAGTCCGACATCATCACCGTTGTAACACCAGATGAACAGGTCATTCAGCGGGGAGCAGGAAGTTGAGGGACTCCCAAAGGAGTGCAGGGGTGACACAGGTGGGGTGGGGATGTCCTGGGGGGCTCAGTGCAGGCTGCGCATGGGTTGGGGGTGCCACAGTGTGATACAAGCTTAGGGAATCCAGGGAAAGAGAGTGCGAGATACATGCAGGCATGTATACGAGTGCAAGAAGCTCAGTGAAAGAATGCACTGCAGCTCAGGGACTTCCTAGGGTATTGCAGCTCTGGAGCTCCAAGAGGCCTCTGAGTCACCATGCAGCACTAAATTTCAGCCACCCCCATCCAGAAGCTCAGCGCAAAGCTGCTGTGCCCTGGGAAGCCCCAGCGGCATGGCACAAAGCTGCTGCTGCATCTCAGGAAGCATCAAAGGGCTACTTGATGCACTGTGGCTCTGGATCCACAAGAAGCCCCCAAGCTACACCATAGTGTAAAGCCCAGGCCCAGCATCACAGGGCAAGGGGGATCCTTGTAGTTCTATGCAGTGGTGGGATTCAAAAAAATTTACTACCAGTTCTCTGGGCATGGCTTGGTGAGTGTGGCAGGAGAAAGATACTGTAAAATCTCCAGTCAAAGATGGTATTTGCCGGTTCTCCGAACTACTCAAAATTTCCGCTATCGGTTCCCCAGAACTGGTCAGAACCTGCTGAATACCAACTCTGGTTCTATGGCATTCTGGGTCTGCAAGAAGCCCCCTGGGCTGCAGTGCAGTGCAGTGCAAAGGCCAGCCCCAGCTCAGCAGTAGAAAGCAAAAGGATTTAATAAAGATATAAATCTACCTATTAGAATGGCATATCAATTTGAAGGTTTAAGTCAATACTAAAATAAGTAAAATCTTAAAGCTATAGTAATCAGCTGTAATAAAGACAATTCAAACTGTAAGTTATGGACCGTGGTTTTAAAAATTACCATAATTTCTGTTTTTCAGATATGAAATTAGTTTTGACACCAGCGCATGCCTCTATAATTTAATGAACGATTCTTCTGCAGAGAGGATCATTCATAATTTCCAGTGAGAAGCATAAAGAATCCTAGCAGTTGTTACCATGTAAAAATTTAGTTCTGTATTCTCTATAGGAACATTCATATTAATAATATTTAACTTAAAAAATTAGCAAGCTGAGAAGAGAAACTCACATTTAAATTTTGTTTCATTCTCTGACCAATCATTTTTTTCAAAATCACTGGGTTTATCACTAACTGATATGAAAAAGTGATTCAACGTGATCGTTACATTTCCAAATTGTATAATGAATTGCCTATTTTCACCATTAACGGTGGAGTAATAGATAGAACACCTTATACCATTTTCTCTATGTGCAGTATTGTAATGGACAGAAGGAATGGCCTTGAGGGACAGGAAGAAAAGTTGCTGCCAAAAACAGTCAGATAAAAGAAACTTGAGCCCAGAGCAGAACTAGAACCTAACAACACGTCCTAGACAAGATCCTCCCTGCTTCTCATGAAGACAAAGGGAGGAGGGGGAAGCACATTTCAGACTTGCAAGATGCTGTTATTATAACCTTATAATAAAAATAATATTACCTTGCATGATTTTGGTTTCCAAATCTGGTCTACTATGAATGGCTCACAAATATTGTCTGCAAATTTGACAGTTTTCTTCCATTGATGCTCCCATTGTTGCCTATCAATTATTCTATTTAAAACTATGCATCCACTTAAAAAAATCATATAGTCTTTCTGAT